GGCAGGCTCATGGAAGCTTCCTTTGCTTCATCACTAACCAGCCTTTGCAATCACCAGCAATATTCCCCACCACCACCATTTTTAGTGATTCCGGATATACATATACCTCATAATCGAAATATTGGTATATAGAATGATTAACATCAGAAAGTTGTAGTGAAAGAATATCAGAACAAAGATTCGCCTATAAATGGCTTTAAAGTACTGTTTAGTGAATCATAAAAAACTGCTGGGTGTGATAGTGCATGCTCATAATGCTAGCACTTGGGAGGCAGTGGCAGGAGAGCCATGAGTTTGAGGCCAGCCTGGAATACATAGCAAATCCCAGCAAGCCTGGGCTACATAATGAGATTCTGTTTCAACAACAACAACTAGAAACGGAGGTTTAAAATAGGTTATAATTCTACTTCTATTAATTTGTTTGAAAATCTGAGCAATCTAATTTCTGACCTTCAATGTATAAAACACAAGAGGTTAGACTTGAAATTCCCTTCAAGCTCTAATCATTAATAATTATTTTTGGCTTAATATTCCTTCTTCTACCTGCTTTCAATGACTTCTGTACTAGCTAGCCTCTGCCCTGCTGGACCAAGGTTCCACATTAGAATGAGTTCACTCCTTGTATTTTATTCTCCTGGGCCTGATGCTTCCACCCATTGGCAATGACTCCTAAAGAGAAATTCTAGAATATCATAGAAGATATCCTACTGTGTTTGCCTTCCCTAACTATACAAAATGCTTCAGGTAATCGGTTTATAAAGAGAAAACATCTATTTTCATGGACAGTTTTGGAGGTTCTACTGTAAGGTTAGCAGACCCATTGTTTTGGGTCTTTGGTGTACCTACTAGATAGTAATGGTAGTTAAGTGTGTAATAGAGCAAACTGCTCATTTCAGGGCCAAGAAGCAAAAGAAGGAAAAGGAACAGGCCACGGTCCAAGAACTTACAGGTTTCATCATCTTCCCATAGCTCTGCTGTGGAGGCCAAGTCTTTAACATGTGAACATTTAGGAGATGCTTATCCAAACCGTAACACCTATCTAGACTGATGCATCCTTTCACATACCTGTGACTTTTGGTACCTTCTTGAAAGCAATTCTGTTCATCTAGTTTGAGCACTGAGTTTCACCTCTTCTTTATTTAACTGCAACTGAACATCCTACAGGCATCTCAAATGTTTCATGTTTCATGCCCAACTTATCTGTCCCAGCCTATCCCTCCTCTCTGTTCTTTGTCTCGGAGTCCTTGCCGCTTTATTTTTCTCTACCTCAATATCTCCACCCCTTTCTCTTTCTTCTCACTACCATATTTAGTGGATCAGTTCCACATGTCTCATCTGAATACATGCAACAGGCTCCTCATCCATACAGGTGTCTCTAAGGTCCATTTTCCTCAGTCACAAGAATTATGGAACTGTCCTAATTTGCTTTCTGTTGCTGTAATAGAACACTCTGACCAAAAACAACTTGGGGAGAAAGGGATTTACTTCATCTTACAGCTTACAGTCCATCACTGAGGGAATACAAGGCAGGAACTCAAGGCGCAAGTTTGAGAAGAACGGTGCTTATCGGCTTGTTCTCCCTGGCTTGCTCAGCTACCTGGTTTCTACAGTGCAGGCCCACTTGACCAGGGATGGCACCACCCATAGTGGGCTGGGCCCTTCTACATTAATTAGCAATCAAGACAATGTCCCATAGACATGCCCATAGGTAAACCTTATGCAAATTCCTCAATTGAAATTCTCTCTTCACAGTTGTGTCAAGTTAATGACTAACATTAGCCATCATGGGAACTGAAATGCAAATCTGATGATTTCATTTTGCTTGCTTAAAGCCCTTCAAGATTTTAGGATTATCTTCAAAATAACTCCTAACTTATTTGTCAAGGCATATGAGTCTTCCCATCCATGAGACATCTTGACACCTGCTCTACCACACTCATATTCTGAAATCCCTTTCAAACGTAGCTCTAGTGACATCAGCCCACCTGCTCTTTCCTAAGTAGGCTGTGCTCCAGAACTTTGGCCCTGCAAATCCCAAAGCAAATAGCTTATTTTTTTCTCCTTTCTTTAACTGAAAAAATTCATTCTTAAGGACTCTGTTCAAATACTGCCTTTGGTGTGTTGTGAAGCCTTCTCAGACACCCCCAAAGTAGCTTAAGTGCGCCTCCTGGAGTTCCTTTAAACCAGGTGACAATGCTGTACCTTACTCTTTCCTAATCTGTTCTCTCCACTGGACTGACAACTTCTTCAGGACAGATAGTGATTCTTCGACTTTTTGGCAGCCTCAGCACCAGGAACTCAGTGTGCGCTCAATAAATATCCCTGAATAAACAATCTCATGATAGAAACTGGTACTGTATAAAAAGATTTCTTGCCTAACTAATATCTCTCCTTTTCTCTCCTTGTATACCTTCTTCATTATATTCTTTAAAAGTGAGTTTCATGGGGGGGCACAGTGGCACACGCCTTTAATCCCAGCACTTGGGAGGCAGAGGCAGGCAGATATCTGTGAGTTGGAGGCCAGCCTGGTCTCCATAGTGAATCCAAGCCAGCTGTGCCCACAGGGAGACTGTCTCAAAAAGACCAAAAAAAAAAAAAAAAAAGTGAGTTTCTGTGCGATGAGTTTGTGAGTGTATTACATAATGCTTTATGTCTTGGTATATTGTTTATAATTAAATATAATTCTACATAAAATGACCTATTGTATTCATTTGCAGTAGGGAAAATAGCAAGTTAATAGAAATTCTGAGTATAGAAGTTATTTATTTATTTAGTCTTTTTGAGACAGGGTCTCCCTATAGTCCCAGCTGGCCTGGAACTCACGATGTAGACCAGGCTGACCTGGAACTCACACAGATTTGCCTGCCTCTGCCTCCTGAGTGCTGGGATTAAAGGTGTGCACCACACCTGGTCTCTGAGCATGGAGTTTAAGACAAAAAAAAAAAAAAAAAAAAAGATTCTCTTGAGTTAAGCCATGTAGTGACGGCAAACACCCACATGATGGGGGTCAGATGAATTTACGGTGGACCAGAGCCACTACCTCTAACTTCCAGGTCAGAGCTGAAGGGGCAGATAACAAATACTGTCTCCCTTCAGAGGAAGCATGGGAAGGGTGAACAGGTGCATTGACTCCACTAACATTGCAAATTGCCCTCTTTATTTCCAATCCTATGCTCTAGTATAGGAACAGAACCCCAAACACCTTCTTTGCCTCATCAAATTTCATCAGCATATATATTTGCTTGGAATGTGAAGGGTAAGAGTGCTAATGTGATTAAATCTTCCTCGCCCCAAATTTAATGAAATAATACTAGTTTGCATGCTTGTTTCTGGTTACCTGCTCCATTCAGAACCTGGAACTACTAATTTTCTGGAAGGTCTATGACAGAAGGACTGAGTAACTAAGTGCATATAGGAAAAGATCTTATCTAGTTCAGTCTTTCTGAAATTCGATCAATCTGGAAATATTTCAGGATCCTCTTCAATCCTTTTGTTTAGATTTTTAGCACATTCAGACACTTTGTTCATTTGGCCCCCAATTTAATTTCTCAAACTTATATGACTGTGACTTGCATGCTGAAGGGGAATTCCGTGAAGCACAGGAACTCCGTTCTGTAAAACTGCATGGAGAACAGATTGAAGAAAATAAGCATAATCCTATAAAGTTTATATTTGTATTAACCTAAAATGACTCATTTAGTCCATTACAGGGTACAAGTTATTTTAAAATTCCGTTTATTTTTCTTTTTTAACAAACAGTTCCAGGGATAGGGATACAAGTTTTTAAGTCATTTGACCACAGGAGCAGGGACGCTAAGAAAAAAAAAAAAAAATCAGTAAAGCATAAAAACATTTAGCATGGCGAAAAAGTGCAAAGAAAACCAATTTAGGCACAGCGTCTTCCTCTTGTTCCGTTATTCTGTTTTCCCCTTTACTTTTATCCCAATCCTATTAGAATTTCGGGCCAACTATATTTCATATAAAGTTGTTCCAGGCTCCATTCGACTCGGGGGAAGTGGGGTGCAGTTTACTGTAATTTACACTGAAGGAGGCCCAGAGGTCTGGCACACATTAGTTGCTCGTGCTTGGGTGTTTGCAAGGAAGAGTCAAGTCTGGGATCAGAGGCCCCCTCTACTCCACTACCACGTTTCTGGTGCTGAGGTCATTGGCATTAGGGTACCAGATGGAGCTTGCCGCTCTTGGGGGTCTGCACACAAGAGGCACGTGCAGAGAGTCTGTCCAGTGGCAAGCTTATAATTGTTAATAGAAGGTGACTGTCATCACTTCATTTTCTCTGAACATTTTTTTTTAAACCTAAGACTCTTAGCGCCTGGGGCAGACCTTCTGTTCCTGGGCCTCGGAGCTGTGTGCGTCTGTGAGTTGCGGGTTACGGGGCTGAGAGCTGTGCGGCCTCGAGCTTTCAACGCGGCTGAACTGCGGGACTTTGTGTTGGAGGCCTCGGTGGAATAGGGCCGCGGAATGCGGGGCTGAGGACCAGAGATTTCGGGGACTGTGAGCGGGAGGAATGTGACCTGTAGAGTCGTGGATCACGGACTGCGGGGTACTGGGTTGTGGACTGCGGAACTGAGGAGCTGAGGGGTGCAGAACTGTGGACTGCAGGCCTCCAGGTGCAGAGCTGTGGACTGCGGGACAGCGGGGTGCGGGAGTGCGGGGCACGGGGCTGTGGACTGTGGGGCTGCAGGCTACCTGCGAGGTGTGGGGCCGTGGGGTGCGGGGCTGCGGGCTGCGCCGCTGTGGACTATGGGGTGAAGCTGCAGTCAGCGAGGCCGCAGGTTTGCGGGCTGAAGGGCTGCGGGGCGGACCTTGGCTGCGGGGAAATGACGTAGCCAGCCCCACGCGCTCAGAGGGCCGTGAGCCAGGCGCCCTGGTAACGGCGCTCGGCATCTCCCGCGTCCTCCGGCCCCGCCTCCCGCCGCCGCAGCCCGCCAGGTCTCCGCCTCCCTCCGCAGTCCCCGCGGCCGAGTCGCCGGGCCGGTTCGGTTGCGAGCGGGAAGCCACAGCGCCGTCGCCCCACGCTCGCCTTCGGGCAGAGGACGCGAGGGTCGCAGGCGGACGCGCGCGGGCCGGCGAGTCGGGACTCGCCCCCCCCCCGCCTCCCCTCCCCCGGACCGTCGCCTTCCCCGCGTGGTTGCGGCGCCGGCCTCACCCCGCACGCGGGGACGGGTGCCCCGGCCGGGGTCTGCCGGGAAGATGGCGACCCCGGGCATGAGCTGGCAGCAGCACTATTACGGCGGCTCCGCGGCTGGGGCGGCCAAATTCGCGCCCTCGGCGGCCGGCGCGCAGCTGACCGGGCACAGCCTGGACTACAGCCACGACATGCACCTGAAGATGAGCAAGAAGATCGCCCAGCTCACCAAGGTACGGGACGCGGGGCTCCCCTGGCAAGGTGTGGAGGGGCCCTCCGGAAGCAACAGCGACTTGCCTCCCAGCGCCGCAAACTTGGGTGGGACCCGGCCACCCAACTTGAACGAGGCGGCGCCCCGCACGCCGGGACTGTAGGGCTTGCACCCCTTTGCCTGTGGGCAAGCCTGGACGGAGTGGATGAGGCTACTTTCGCAGTTCCACGCTAGTAATTGAGTTTCCTGTTGCTTGGTGCCTTAGCCAGGGCTGCAAGAGGAAGCTTGCTTCTTCCAGTGCCTGTGAAGTACAAGTGCGGTTTACCCAACAAGACCCGGAATCCTCTGAGTTAATCAGTATCTGTTACTGGTTATGCAGTTTAACCGGAGTATAAACTTTCCGAGGTTATTCTGAGGACTGTAGGAGGCTAAAACATACCTTGTGTGCCATTTTAGGGATTTAATGAGTCATTCCTTACCCGGACAAAATGTCAAATAAGGTTTATTAGATGAATCACAGTGTGTTTACATTTTGTAAATGCTTCATCTTATCAGAAGATAGTCTTCCAAGAGCTGATATGACACGTCGCCTGCACATTTGGCCAGCTGTAGTTTAAGGTAGTAGATCAGTGAGTTCTTTTCCTAACTTAGTAAACGCTGATAAGAGCTAGTTTCTGTGAAGAGCCATTCCAATCAGTTAACTACTCACTAGTCTGCGTAGCTCTTAGTAGCAGTTTAGCACTATGTGCTTCAGTGATTTGTGGTTTCTAGAAGTTAGTCCTGGTGACATGACAGCCCTCCATAGATGAGTGTTGTGATGCTAGAGGGTGGATGAGCTCCGGGAAGGGGGTCACTGCTCCATAATCTCTTGTGATCTGACTCAACTCCACATTTTCATCATATAATGTCACTATTGGCTTTTTTGAAAGTAGACCAAACCACTAGTATTAGAAGAAAGGAAAAGGGCATGAAGAGAGTAAAAAGATTTCAGTAAATAAATGTGATCAGGGTACAAAACAGTGCAGAAGGACTGAAGAATGAGGGGTGCGTAGAAGCAAAAATGCAAAACCATTAAAGAGAAAAACCGTGTAAAGCAACACAACCTTTTAAGGGGTTTCCTTTCTTGTTCTTTGTCTTTACTCTAAGCAACATCTCAGAGGTCGCCACTTGTGCAGTTTTTACTATTTGCTCTTGTGACAGTGCCCACATCCAGAGAAAGGGAGGTGTTGGAAGGCATCATAGTATGCCATCAGGGCATGTACATGGCCAGGACTAAACACCAGGCCTCCTTGGTGGTGTTTCATCTCCAGAATGCTGATGGCCACAGTGAGGCTCATGAATATTTATCTGTTCTGGCTTCCTCTTATGCTATGTCCACAGCGTCCAGTCGTTCTTATTTTAGACTGTAACCCTCTGGAGCTTCCTTACAGGAATGAAGTAGTGGGACTGTGTGCTGTTTAATAAAAGCTGTTTTTCTTCAGTAAACTTTTTTCATTTCTACTTAACACTTCAATTTCCTGTTCTCTTACCAGTGAAAGAAGTTCAGCCCCAATGGCACGGGTGGGATATTGAGGGGATGATGTTATCTCTCAATCTAATGAACCAGGTCCAGTGTTCCCTGCTGCACCTGATCTCAGCTCAGTGTTACTCAGACTCTGATTTCATGTTTGTAGTTACTGTTTCTAACACCCCGTCTGATTTCTGAGTGCTGCAGACATTTCATCCTTTGTGCTAGGGTTTCTCAGCATAGTACAATTGACATTTTACATTGGAAAGTTCCTGGGGGGGGGGCTGGCTGCCCTGTGTGTTATTCACAGGATGTTTAGCAGCAGCTGCACCACTGAGTGGGAACAGGTTGCATATGCCCGTGCCTGGGCATTTAGAAGTAACAATAAAGTCTGCAGACATTACCAGGTATTCCCTGGTTAGTGTAGGAGAGAGGTGGCAAAGTCATCCAGCAAAGGATGATTATCTGAATTGTGCTGAAATACCTAGGGCTTCCCCTACCCCCTTGCTTGCCTTACTGTTTCCCATGATAAAGCTTGAGAGTGAAACAGTCTGATAATAAGACTCTGTTGCAGCCAGTTCCCCTCAGTCTCACACACCCTACAAAGACATGCTTGCCTTATGTACTACTTTAGAGATGTTCAAATTTTATAGTCACATATGCTTATTGTAAACAGTATTTCATAAGCCTTGTATCATGGATAAGTGTATATGGATGTGTAGATTGTTAGGACCTTTATAGTTGTATAGTATCTGCTAAGATTCTCACTAAAGAAGAGTTTATTAATAAATTCACACCAATAGAAGTATGTTGAATAGAAGAATGGTTGGAACTTGATTTTTAGCTTTTATTTCAAAATTAGATATTTTAATGATAACCATTAAAATAGGAGCTTGGAACTGGGGAGATCATCAGTTGGTAAAGCACTAGCCCATTCAAGCATGAAGATCTGAGTTCAATCCTAGCATTCACATAAAAAAGCTGGATGCTTCTGGGTGTGGTGGCGCATGCCTTTAATCCCAGCACTTGGGAGCAGAGGCAGGCAGATCTCTGTGAATTCAAGGCTAGCCTGGTCTACATAGTGAGTTACAGGACAGCTGGGGTTACAGGGAGACCCTGTTTCAAAAAGACCAATGGATCTCTGTGAGATTGAAGGCAGCCTGGTCTACAGAGAGTTCCATACCAGCTAAAAGGGGACCCTTTTAAAAAAAACAAAAAAAAAAAAAAAAAAGCTGGATGCTGATGTATGTACTTGTGATCCCCAGCACTGGAGAAGCAGAGACAGGAAGATCCCTGGGGCTTACTAGCCAGCTATTCTAGTCAAAATGGCAAACTCTAGGCCTCAACAAGTAAGATGCACAGCAGTTGAGGAAGGTACCTGGCATTGAGCTCTGCCTCCGTGCACATCCATGTGCACACATATAGCACACACATGACACATACATACATACACATAAAATAAATAATATAAAATCCTTTTAATAACTAGCAGCATGAGTAAGAACAAATGTTGGGGGCTAGAAAAGCACATATTGGTTTTGCAGAGGACCTGAGTTTAGTTCCCTGCACCCATAACCTCATCTCACAACCACTTGTAATGGTACTTCCCGATGATCTGATGCCTTCTGGCCTTTGCGGATACCTGCGTTCATATGTACATACTCACAGAAGATACTCATACACATAATTAAAAAGTAAAAACTAAAATTTAAGAAAAGAATGTAGCCAGGCATGATGGAGCACGCCTTTGATCTCAGCACTTGGGAGGCAGAGGCCACTAGATCTCTGTGAGGTGGTGGCCAGCCTGATCTACATAGCAGTTCCAGGCCAACACAGGGGGCGGGGGGGCTACAGGGAAACCCTGTCTCAACAAAACAAACAAACAAAAGAATGTGGGGACTGAATGGCTCAGCACTTAAGAACACTTGTTCTTACAGAGGACCCTGGTTCCTTTCCTAGAATCCACATGGCATCTAACAACTGTCTGTAATGCCAGTTTCAGGAGATCCAGCACCCTCTTCTGGCATCCACAGGTACCAGGCACACATGTGAGTCACATACATACAAACAAGCAAAACACTCATATACATAAAATTTTTAAAACAATAATATTTTAAAGAGTTGTAAAGACATATAGTGGGCTCCTAATTCAGGTTGTCACTGAAAATACTTAATATATATCAACAAAGTATTAATAAAATATAGGTAAGATGTTTTTAAATATTCCTTTAAAAGTTCCTTGATGTTTTTTGTTTTTGTTTTGTTTTGCTTTTTTAAAGACAGGGTCTCTCTATATAACCCAGACTGGCCTCAAAGTAACAAAGTACCAGTGCCCCTGGCTCAGCCTCCTGAGTGTAGAGCCTACAGTCGTACACTACCATGACCAACACCACTCTGTTTTATGTGACAAAATAAATATATGACATTTATTTTGAGAGTTTTTTTCTACTAAGCTTTGTTAAAATGTGTACAGTAATTCTTCTATTTGAACATCAAAGCTTCAAGGTTCACGGACTTGTCTGACTGGCTTTGCCAGGGTAAGGAAGAAGGTTAATTACATTATAATGTACCTGTTGAGGCTTATTTCCTTTTTCTTTCCCCTTGGTGCTAGGGATCACATCTGGGGACTTGTAAGTGCTAAGAAGCACTCTACCACTGAGCTATACCCTTAGCCCTACAACATTTTCTTTTTTTAATTGAATTTCTGTAGTTTTCATACAATATAATTTGGTGGTATTTAGATCCCCTTCCCCATTTGCACCTCCTCTTATTGCCCCCCACCCAATTTAATGTACTCTGTTATAATATAATATAGTATAATATAGTATGGCCTATAGTGTCTAATGTGTGTCCCCAAATGCCCTTCAGTGTGGGTCCATCCACTGGAACCTGGTTAACCTACCAAGAATCCTGTGCTTGAAAGAGATGCAGTATATTTTTAAGTAATGAAAATACTATGTAAAGATTTGCTCAGATTCCATTTCCTAATAACCCAACAGCCTTTTAATGGCCAGAAGAGCAGTAGTTTTTAGAGCATGTTTTTATGTAAGGGGACTTTGCTAAGTGTTACAGAGAGGAGCAAAACACAGCCTCTGCCTCTAAGTCAGGAATATTTCGGTCATTTATGTCACCTCTTAAGAGTGAATATTAGGTTTCTGAATTCATGCTGTATGCCCACATCATGGCACATTGCTTGAGTTGTTAACTGACTTCACAGCAAGTGGAGAAACTGGATGGCTTTAATTTTGCTGTGTAAAACCCCATGTCTGTACTTCTGTATTTGCATCTGTGTTGACCATTTAGGATTCTTAGGCAGAAATGCAGAACTTATGGGCTGCAACTATGAAACAGCCTATTGCTGTCATTTTTCATTTGTCCCCCACCCACCTTTTTAGTACCTCCCTTTTAATTTACTTCTTAGGACTGATTCATTTCCTGCCAGGAATGAACTTGACTTTTCTGGTTGCTCTTAGCTCATACAGATCATCCTTTGGTCAGTAGGCCACAAAAGTCTC